TCATAGCTTTCCCATAATCCCACACCCTTGCATACTGCTCCCTAGCTGAACCAAATATGATAAAGTTTTTCCCTACACCTAGATAGCCATGCCTTATAATAACTCACTTCAATTCCTAAATCATTCAAAATCCTAGCCCTAATCTCCTTAATTCTCCAACCAGGGTTACTCCTAAACTCTTCTAAATGTTGATAATTTAGAGTGTCGGAGGAGCGCTCGCTCTTCTGAATCGCGCTCGCGCCAGCTAGGCGCGACCCGCGACAAAACCGCGATGAGTTTCTTGAAATTCTGGAAAAGTTTGGAGGCGCGCCCGCGCCTCTGGTTGGCGCGCCCGCGTCATGGCATGGCGCGACCCGCGCCTTAACCGCGCTAAAATCGCGCTAACTTTCTGGAAATTCGAAGATTTTAGGCAAAGAAGGAGGCGCGCCCGCGCCCCATGGTGGCGCGCCCGCGCTGCTGTGGTGGCGCGCCCGCGCCTCTTCGCTCGCGCCCGCGCTTCTTGCCGTTTTGCGGTTTTATACGACGGTTGATTCTATTTTATAAAAAGGAGTTTCTTTTCGTAAGATAGACAGAACTTTTCTCTGTGATTCTCCCTAAGTAATTTCTCCATTTTTCTCTCAAAAAACTTGGAATCTTTTGTGAGAAATCTTCTTGATTTTAGTCTTTCTTGTGAATTATTCATCATCAATTTGTTTCTTAGTGCAAAGAACAATTGGGCTGACTTTTGTATCTCAAAGAGTATTTCCGGATCAAACCCAAGCACCTTTGTGGGGGAAATTAAACTCTTTAGGAATTTATTCATACGCCTAAGTCAGTGTGTCAAGGATTGAGACTCAAGTGGTCACCGGTTTTCTCATGTTCATGTTGGATGTAATAACTTGGAGTAGAGGCAAGTAAAATATCTTTCACAACTAGTGTTTTCATTGTGTTTTTCTGTATTACTTTGATAAATTGGTGTTTGGTTGTAATACATTGAATTGTATTTGGATTTTTGTATAATTCATTATCAATTATACATAGTTAGGTTTTGTTCCCACAATTGTTATAGTAGTTCTTGTTTTAGAATTACTTGAAAACCTAACACTAAATACCCCTCTGCTATATATTCAGCAATAAGCATCTTGTTCTTCTTCACTTTGAAACAGGTGTGGTTTAATTTCAAGGTTTTAATTTGCCAAGTTTGCTGCTTCACAAGTTTTGATGTAAACACCTTAAAATGACACTTTACTTCCCCCACACATTTACAAGCAGGCATTCTACAGGTGTAGCTATTGAACTCACATGCACATCTATACCTACACTGAATTGTAATCCTTATACCATCATTATGCAAATAGTAGAACTCATACCTGTTTTGAATGGCATGAAGTCTTAAGGCCCTCCTTAAGACTGAAGAATTGCTGAATTTCTTATTTAACTTCAACTAGATTGGGTTGTCAAAGTCCACAATAGCATTAAACCGTGGAGTAGAGTCCTCTTCCTCATCAAATCCACACAAACTCCTTGAATCATCTGAATCACCACCAGTCTCTGGATTCACCTTCAGTTTTCCAACATCCAAGTCATCCCTGAACTCTGCCCTCTTATCTTTACCAACTCCCACTACAAGAAAACAGCTTGATACCGACGGAAAAATTCCGTCAGAAACATCGGAAATTCCGTCGGAAAATGGTCTTTCGATGGAATTCCGTCGGAACCAGTCTGTCGCAAAACCCTTTGTAGGAAATTCCACCTTTTCCGACGGAATTTCCGTCGGAAGGCTAGTTTCCGATGGAATTTCTGACGGATTTATTTCTGTCGGCGCTTTTTTTACTTTAATTGAAATTCCGCCGCAATTTTCTGACGGAAATTTCCGTTGGAAAAGTCAATAAAAAAACAAAAAAAAAAAAAAAACAGCTAGCACCACCCCCGCCACCAGCCCACACCACCTACCATCACCACGTCTAACCCCTTTTCCCACACCACCCACCACCACCATTCCACCAATCCATTTTTTCGAATACAATTCGGAACAAAAAAAACAAAAAAAAAAACACGAAAAATATTGAAAAAAAAACATATCTATACAAATTAAAACAAAATACAGATTAGAATACAAATCGGAACAAAAAAAATTGTATTCTATACAAATCGGAACAAAACAAAAATATTGAAAAAAATACCTGATCTATGCAAATTAATTAAAAAAAACAGAATACAAATAGAATAAAACGAAAAAACGAAAAATAATAAAATGAAATTGGGCGATAACAGATCTGCAAATGCTGGACGAACGAAGTGGTGCATGTCGAATTTCAATTATTTTTGCTACAGTTTGCTCGAATTTGCTGGAGAATTGGGTTGCGAAATTCCTCAAATTTTTTCATTGAATATTTTGTGGTTCATTGCTCGAATATGGGGGGATTTTTGCTTGTTTTTTTTGGTTCGTTCTTTGCTCAGACTTCCTAGGGTTTTTAGTTCGTTTTTTTGCTCGAAAATGAGGGGATTTGGCTCGAATTTGCTGGAGGATGTAGGTGTTGCTCGGTGTTGTTGTGGCTGGTGATAGGCTTGCGAGAGGAGAGGAGAGAGAAAATGAGAGGCGGTGGTGAGAGGAGAGGGGAGAGAAGAGGAAAGAAGAAGAGCAAAGAGAAGAAGAGGAAATAAAAGAGGAGAGAGAAGAAGCAAATTCTTAAGAGAAGGAGAGAGAAAGAGGAGAGGAAAAAGAGGCGGAATCCTAGGGCTGAGAATCCTATGTGATGATAACATGTTCCGACGGAAATTAATTCCGTCGGAAGATATTTTTCGAGGGAAAATTCCGTCAGAAGCTTGTAATTCCGACATAATTAACTTCCGTCGGAAACATTCTGAGGGAATATTCTGTCGAAAGTTATTTATTCCGACAGAATTATTTTTTGTCGGAAATGGTATTTTCCGACGGAATATTCTAAGGGATCAAATTTCATCTGAAATTTAAAATTTTCCGACGGAATTTAAGGTCCGTCGGAACGATTTCGGCAGAAAACAACCTATTTCTAGTAGTGTCCCTCATCTGTTTCACTCCCCAAACCTTTCCTAAGGCTGTTGTTCACCTTGTCCAAGATCTCCTTTGACCCTTCAATATACCATTCCTCATCCCCTTCATCATATTCTTCTTCACCAGGTTCCCAATCCTAGCCCTCATCACTCAAATCAGAACTTGAATAACCAAATCCTTCACCTCCATCATCTTCCTCATCATCAAACCTCAAGACTTTAGCCTTAGCTGAGGCTTTCCCATTCAACTTCACCTCTGTATTTGCAAAACTAGAAGCTCCTACTTCTGCTACCTTCTCTTTCCCTTTCTTTGTGACAAATATATCCCTAGGTGGACTCTCCTCCCTTTGTTAAGTGTCTATCTTCTTAAACCTAGGGCTCCTCCTAACAGTCACAGTAGTTGAACTTCCTACCTTCTTGCCCTTTTTATTTGTCTTTGGTGGATTGGTTTGGGCCTCCTTTATGGGCTTACTAGGAGCTTCTGCTGTTACAAAGACTTCAACATACCCCTCTGCATTTACTGTCTCTAAAAGGCCCTTAACCTCTTCACTGTTAACTAGTTCCCTTATCCCAGTGTTAAAGGTTTTCCCCTTCTGCCTATACCAACACCTGTAATGCATAGACATAGCCAAAACACCACTAACAAAACCATGAATTGCAGCTGTTCTAATCAAATGCACATCCAACTTAGAAACCTGGACTTTCCTCTTCCAGTAACACCTACCACCACACCAACATAGCAGCTGCTTGTCTTTGCTAACTCTTTTAGGGACAAAAGCACCTCCCACTCTAAGGTAGATGTCAACCATACCATCATTGTCACCCATTATCTACCATATTAAAAGCCATGTATCAATACATGCACATTACGAATAAACAAATCCAACACAATCACCAAACATACAATACAAAGCACCAATTCCAACATATATGCATAAACAATTGAAACTAAACAATTGAAACCCAATTTAGGTGCTCAGTAACATAAATTAATAAACAAATCACACATGCACAGTTAATAAAGAATAAACCACTTTATTTAATCTCTAATTACAATTAAGAACTCCAATTAACCTAAGTTGCATAGTCAATTGCAGAAATTGATTTTTTTTAAGGGTTTCCTACTTTGTTGCCAAAATTAACCCTAATTTAGCCCAATATTGCAATTTTGACATTAATAAAGCATCAGTAATAGACGAAATTGCTGTCAAAAGACAAAAAAATTACCTTCTTTGGTGTCAGATTTCCACCAACTTTCGCCCTTTTCTAGTTGATGAAGATTGGTGACGAAACCCTGCTGACCTAATCTTCACCAATGTTGACAGCTCCCTCCTACACTCCACTCCTCAGCCACACAATTTAGGTTACAATGTGAAATCAATGATGGTTCAAAGAGAATTCAATGAAGATGGTTGGTGAGAATTCAATGAAGGAAGAAGATTCGTGTTTTGCTGGGTGAAAAGTTGGAGTTAAAACCAAATTGTGGGACCCACGTCATTTTTTCGTCACAGAAATCGTTAACTGGTGGTAACTTCCATTTTTAAAATTTTATGTGGTGTTAAAATAATTTTTTTTTTGGGGTGTTAAAAAACATTTTCAGCCTTTTGTGTGGTGTTAAAATCCAAAATATCCTAATGATAATACGACTAAGAGTCCATATAAATTAGGATATTCAGATATATTTTTGAGAGAAAAAGCGAAAAGTGGATATGAAACTTTGAGAAAGAAAGAGGATGACTATGTAACAAAAAAAAAGATGAAAAAAATTATTGCTTGACTTTTTAATTGCTTTAAACTACTTTTGTCAATACAATTGGCAGCCAAACACTAATATTTAATTCCAAATTTAGGCTAGGGAGTTTTGAACTCCAGACCTTCATGTTGTGTGCCTCAAGTACAACCGCTGAGCCACGGAGCATTCAACCTTGTATTAGTCAAGTAATAACATTATAATAATTTTGGGGCCCTTTTTTATGGGGTCCTATACGGTCGCTCAATCTGCACCTTGTCTCCACTGCCCCTGTCTACTTTCATTCATAAATTACATGCATAAAACCATTTTTAAAACCATTGACCTTATTCAATTTACATGGTTATATAAAAATGTTTTTTTTTTTTTTTTTTTTTTAAAATTTTATTTAAGGCAGTTATATAAAAAGTTATAGTTGAGGGTAGCCAACGAAAAAGTAAAATAATGATAGGGTTAAACAAAAATAAAAAAAATAATGATATTGTCCATATGTTGAAGAAATAAAAAGTAACCATTACAAAGCCGTGCGCCCATACCTTCTTCCTCGACGTTCTCAATTGAAGCGCACTCAACGTTCTCCATTGAAGCGCAGTTAACGTTCTCCGTTGAATCGCACGGCGCCTTCTAATAGTTGTATCCCCCATTGAAGCAGCTTCGAAGGTAAGCTGTTTCTTCTTTTTGTAATCGATTTCACAATCTAGGGTTTAGCTTTCATCTAATCTTATTAAATTTAATTGTCAATGCATTAAGTGTAGGGTTCGAAAATCTCAACTATTGCTTCTAAATTCTAAGATTATGAAACCATCATAACCAAAAAGAAAAGAAAATTATGAGCCTAATTTGATTCTTGAATCAAATTCCCTAAAATTATGTGATTTTTCGAGATAATTGAATCAAATTTGGTTGCTAATGTATTGCACAACCCTTAATCTTAGGAATAACTATGAAATTAGACCTTAATTGTTTTTATGTGCTTGTTTAGTCTACTGATTGTTGCTGAAAGAATGACCTAAATTGTAACAGGTAAACTTAATTGCTCATTTAGATTAGATTGGGGATTATTGAGGGGGCTTTGGCAGTGATATCAATGAGCTCTAGATCGAAAAATTTTCGTCGTCGAGTAGGTGATGACAATGAAGATAATGAAACTAGCGGTAGTGGGGATCCATCTAAAACTCCCACAAAGCCATCTTTGAACAAAGCTGCAACTTCTATTAATAAACCAAAGAAAAGCCACCAAAAGCTTCTTAGTTTTGCTGAAGATGAAGAAAATGAGACCCCATTTTCTCGTCCGCAAAAATCTTCCTCATCCCGTCTTTCCAAGTCCAGTTCCTGTCATCATATAACATCTGTCAAGGATCGTCGTGGGTCTTCTTCGACTTCACTTCCCTCCAACGTTCAACCTCAAGCTGGCCAATATACAAAAGAAGCCCTCCTTGAGCTCCAAAAGAATACCAAAACCCTTGCTAGCTCTAGGCCAAGACCGGCAGCATCAGACACGAAACCTAGTTCTTCCTCAGAGCCTGTGATTGTTCTCAAGGGTCTTGTCAAACCAGTTCTAGAAACTGGAAGTGCTGTTGATGAGTTCAATGAAGACAAACCTTCAAGAAAAGAAGAAAATGCTTCTCTGACGAGGGAGAAGGATATGGATCTCCTAGATCAAGCAACGATTAATGCTATACGAGCAAAGAGGGAAAAACTTCGTCAATCACGGGCTGCAGCACCAGATTATATATCATTGGATTCTGGAAGCAATCATGGAGCTGCTGAGGGGTTAAGTGATGAGGAACCAGAATTCCAAACTCGAATTGCAATGTTTGGTGAGAAAATAGATGGTCCCAGAAAGGGTGTATTTGAGGATGTAGATGAAAGACCAGTGCGCGCTGGACAGAGTAGTCTGGAAGATGATGACGATGATGAGGAAGAGAGAAAATGGGAAGAGGAGCAGTTTAGGAAAGGTCTGGGCAAGAGAATGGAAGAAGGACCTACCGAAGTTAGCAGAAATGCATCATCTATTCAACCTCAAAGTTACATGTACGCATCACCAATTTCTCATCCATCTGTTGCCAGTATTCCTGCTGGGCCACCCAGCATTGGAGGGGCAATTGGTGGTGTAAAGGGTGCTGGGACAATGTCCATATCTCAGCAGGCTAAAATTGCCAAACAAGCTTTTCAAGATAACTTGAAGAGACTTAAGGTATGTGTAATTTTTTCCTATTTTATCTTTTTTTTTTTTCAAGAAACTTGTTGATGTATTGTGGAAATTCTAGATCGTAGTCCAGGGGTGGAGATGTAGAGAGAAAAAATTGGGTGGATAACTCTCTGAGACCCAACTCAAGATAAAAAGTAGAGAACTTTTAATTGCTAAAAAGGAATAGGGCAAGTAAATCGGGATACCCAAAAAGAATATTGGAGCAAGTAAATGGAACAAAAGAAGTATTACACGGACAATATATTTTCTTTCTTTTTACTTAGTTGTTATGGATATGTGCTCATATATACGTTTAATAAAATACAACAATTATGACCATAACCCCAACCATTGTCACCTCATCACAAATGAACACTTGTTTGTGTTATTGTTTAACTCCTAGGGAAGTTAGAAAAGTGAGAGTATTCATCTTAGACTTGTGATCTTTTTTATATTTTTTTAGTATAGATTGTGATCCTATAGCTAAGAGGCATACCTGTGTTCATAGTTTTAGTTTTTCCACCTGATAATTGGTGAATTTTATTTTTAACTTATTTGAAAACCTTGATTGATAATAATATACTTTGGCTCAAGGTGGAGAATGAAATGTCCATTATCCGGTAAAGAATTTCCTCCTTCTGCTTAAGTAAAGATGATTGTATATTTTAAATTTAGATGTTGTCCTTACATTTTATGTGAAGAAGTGATTGACACGACATATGTTTAGATTATTTGTCACATTTTTTTTATGATGGTTGCATCTGCAGCTTGGGTAGTTTAACAAACTCCAAATAGGAGTGTAGGATGGAGCCATGGAGGGTTTCGTATGTGTGAACTTTTTCTTCTCCTTATCCCCCCCCCAAAACCCACTTTCTCTTTGTCCTCCCTACCCTTATATGAGTTAAGTGTGAGAGTTTAATGTTAGAGCTCCCTCATACCTTCGAAGTTGGGAATTTTTTCCTCACAATGTCCCTAGAGTCCTATGGGTTTGACTTCCCGTGGTTTCTCTTTGTATTTGATTTTTCAATATTTAGTCTTTGGTTTCTCAAAGGACTGCTTCTCTTCATATCTTAAATAAAGAAAGAAAAGGAACTAGAGATGCTGATAGTTCGGGATCTTTTACATATATATGTTAATCTGGATTACAGTTTTTTTGGTCTAGTCTTATTTTTAACTTGATGATATTCTATTTTGTAATAAACTGTAAATACTGGTTATTTTATGCCAAATATCAGTAATGTGCATCAAGCTGTAAAAGAACTTTTTCTATTAAAGAGCAAGCGTGTGGTTTATGCTGCTGTGGACACATGATTATTATCAATCTTTTCTGTAATTCCAACTTTGAGTGAAATTTACTTAAAAAGTAGAATTTGTCTCTTTCTTGTATGGAAAGTAGTCGGAGTTTTAATGATATCAAAAAAATGGGTGGTATTTTTGCTGAATCATGAAACATGAAGTCATGATGGCCATTTTTAAGGACTGTAACCCTGGTGTAATTTTGTTCTGCAATATGTGGATGTTAGGCATCTGTTTCCACACACCTTTTATGCTTGTGGACATAATAACGCTGCATGTTTTCATTCTTTGCCTTGTTGTGCTCTCATACGTTCTTCTTGATTTCTGCTCCCTTTCTTTGTTTTTAGGAAACACATGCAAAAACCATGACTTCACTGGCTCGTGTTGATGAAAGTTTATCTGCATCACTGACGAATATCACTGTGCTTGAGAAGTCTTCATCTGATGCTGGAGAGAAATATATATTTGTGCAAAGACTTCGTGACTTTGTTTCTGTCATATGTGACTTCTTGCAGGTAGGATAATATATTATAGTATCTGATTCTCTGCATTAATATCCCAAAGAGTTACTAGTGATTAAATGAATTTTGAAGTAATAATTCTTGTAAGATTATATATATATGTACCTTTTCACATGGGAAGAAAAGTTTTTTTTATATTTCGAATAACTACTGGAATGACTTCACTGCATCTTAAGTGCCGTATAAATCTTAGATTTACCAAAGATGGGTATCTTAATCTCGATATTCATGTAGAAATTGTGGCTTCATTTGACAAGGAGGACTTTTAGGAGGGTATTGCTTGGGCTTTTGGTTGCTGAAGATAGTCATTAATATAAATTCATCTTTTACAGAGGTATATGATTAAGGAAAGGGTAGTATATGTATCTCTTCATCATATTTGAGGTGTCTGGTGTCGTCTAGGTTTGGGCAAAGACTATTGCCTCAATGATTTGCAATCTCAATAGTTAGTTGCGTTGGCAAAAGTTGATCCTCTTGGATTCTAACCCATCTAATTAATTGAGCTAACTTGAATTGCCCCATTAAATAAATGTGTCAGGTTAGGGTGTTATTTCGAGTCCGTAATCATGTATGAAATATTTACTTGTTTAGCCCTTTTAGTTAAATTCCCAAAATATTATTTTAATAAATGTTAACCTAGAAAATATATACTTCCTTTGTTTTTATATAATCGCGCCATTTAGTATGGACTATGGGCACAATATTTAATAAAAAGAGTAAAAGATGGTGAATGTCAAATATGCTCATGTGATGCAAACAAATGAAAGAGAAAAGGTGGACTAATAATGGTTGTTATCACATGTGAACACGGATAGGGTATTTTGTGCGTGAACACAAGCAAAAAGTAAGTAAAACATATCAAATAAGGAAATGGTGCAATTAATATGTAATTTCCCAAAAAGGAATATAGTGCAATTAAAAAAAAACGGAGGAAGTAATATTTATGGAGACTTGTGCATTTGATTTGTTTATATATAATGATTTGAATAAAAAAATAATCATAAGTACATGGGTTAAACTATGTAATCCCCCAAACAAAGAGGTTTGTTTAGGGTAGAGTTTTCCAGCCCATTTAACAAAACGAATTAAGTTTGCGTCAGGATTTTCAGCTTGTATACTATCAACTCAAACAGATCAATGGATGTCTGCAGAAATTGACATAAACCCATCTTGGTTTATCAGGCCTAGTTATAGGGCTTATTCTGGTTATTTTACTTACAGATCTTGTGTTTTTTATTATGGGTAATGAATGGCTGCTCTCTGCGATTGGGGTTAGTTTTTGATGAGGGCATTATTTGCTTAGCATTTGCAGCTTGCTCCATCATGCTACAATAGGTTCGTCAGAAGAAAGGTTATTAGGCTATGGAAAGGGGTTCCATTAGTAAAGACGAAAGAGAAATAATGTGGATATAGAAAGAACTGAGAGATGAATTTGGATTAAGATCGAATTTTTGAGGCTGGGCTTTGCATTAAGGTTTTTATTTTATACATGAAGTAATGAAGTATAAATTTTATTTTAAATAAATTTCATTTAGGTCACTACTAAATCAGGATGTTTTGTAGCACTAAATTGACTAGAAATGTAGAACATGGGGTACCCGACAAACACCTCAGTAAAGTTACTTTAACAATTGACTTGTTCTACCATGGTTTTCTAAGCAATTATTCATGCTGGTTTTTTATTTTTTTATTTTATTTTATTTTATAGTAATAAATCGCAACTGAAAGAATCAATATTTTTGGCTGGTTTAATAAGCAAAAGAAAATGAGAATACTTAGGCCCTTTTTTAGCTGTAGTACTCCCTCCGTCCCATTTTTAAGTACCCATTTCTCATATTTCATGGGTTTTAATGCGAATGAAGTATAAAAAGCATGTGAGAAGTACATTAGGGATAATTATAAAAAATAAAATATTTTGTTTTCTAGTGGAGACGATAATGAAAAAACATGTGTGAAGTACATGTGGGGACCAATTTTTTACAGGGAATTTAGGGAAGTTTAGTATGTTAAAAGGTATAAAGTGAGGGTATCTAGGTAATTATACATGAAACAAAATTAGAAATAGGCACTTAATTTTGGGACACCCAATTAGTAAAACAGAAACTTTATAATGGGAGGGAGGGAGTAATATTTTAGATCTGTAAATTGGATGAACAATCCTAATTGTTGCAAATTTGGGATTACAAAAGGAAAACCAAAAGCACATCTCATTATTTAACAATGAGTTGTAGTTACAAGGCCTATCCTTAAACCTAACAATCAAATAGAATTGAAATTGTGGCTAGGATTACGTCATTTACACATGATTGTGAGCCATATGCTCTTGGTAACAACACCAAAGGTGGTGTCAGCCATATCATCGAGTAATTTTTCTAAAAAATGAAGAAAACTCGAGTGACTCTTAAGAAATTAATTCTAGATTTCAGCTACACCAAAATGTCACAAGTTGGAACCTGAGACCTTGACTAGTGGATCCGGTTTAAGATAACCAAGTCTTTATATGAGTGCTGAAGAGGAGGTGGCTACCAAATTATTCCTCATGGAAGAAATTGCAATTACTATTAATGAAAAAGTACATTCTCTTTGGAACATTAGCTGCTGCGTGTTTCTGTCTAATTTGGTAACCTGGTCTATCTTTCTCTACAACGTTTTACCACTGAATATATCTGTCATGACTTATTATGTATTTACATGGAATAAGAATAAGTTGGTTGTTTAATTGGAGAGAGTTTGTGTAGTTGGTCATACTTTTTTGTTGTTAAGAGTTAATTTATGATAGTTCCCCATCCTGTAAAAACGCTAAAAAGGAAGAAATATAAATATTGAGTTTGTTTGCTTGTTGTATGGGGAGGGGGGAAGGGGGGGGGGGGAGTGTTGCTATATTTACTGTTGTGGAAATGAAGAGGAGGAGTTGCTTGGTAGGGAAGAGATTATGGTAGTTGAGTGTTTTGGAGGAGTCCAAACGTCCACTCAATTCCCCTTGGTACTATGCAACGTCCATTGCAAGTTTGAGTAAGGCTAACCATTGTTGGGACCAAGATTAAGTGCCTAGTAGCACCTGACAATTGCCCACGGTTGGCTATATTTAATTCATCCCTGAAATCGATGTGATGCTGAGCCATAAAGTGGAGCAAAGGAGAGGTGGAGGAGGAAATATTATTGCTTTTTTATTTTTAAATTTTGACATCTATACAAAAAGTTTACGATCTGGTGTAATTTGCACTCTAGAATATTTCAAACCAATCCAAGGAAATCCTTTAAACCTTGGTGTATTGCCCTAAAGTCGAATTTGATGTTTATGAAAAGAAATCTTATTTTGATTTGCTGTAGAAATTCTGAAACAATTTTATTAGAGCCTGAGTACAAATAAGAATACCTTGGATTTGCCAAAGTGAAACCTTGCATTTGTTGAAAGGTTCATTTGTGAGTTTTGACCATGCCTTAACTGCTGCTGATTGAATTCAGGATTATTTTTACCTGTCATGCTCAAGTTAAGGGTTGGGGGAACCTTTTGTGAAGGATGAGGCAACCTCCCCTTGGGGCACCTTGTTGAAATTTTCCCTTGATATGGTGATCTAAATCTTTTAGAGGATCTTCCCGGTTTTAGGAATTAATTGTGACACAGTTACACCTTCTGTATCATTTTTGCTGTCTTAACTACTTGGGTAAAAAATAATAAAAAACCTGTATTCAAGAAGTACATTTACAACCACCTCAGTCATGAAGACCATTCCCTCTATTTTCTAGTCAAAGTAACTAATCTATAAAATTTTCGGGTCAAAGCAAAATAAATAATGTCATAATTTGATGTTAGGATGATTTTTTTATTGCTAATTGCAGTTCCAATTGAGGGACAACTGTAAATTTGGGAATTGAAGACAAATTAATTATAAACAGTGCTTATTTTTGTTACTTCTGAAGTTTATTTTTAAGATTTATTTTTTTATTCAACAAATGATTGCCCGCTTCTGCTTCTCAGTTACCTTTCCTGCTTCTCTGGCATCAACATTTCTCCGTTTTTACTTTTGTGATCCTCCATTTTGATGTATTCTGGCTAATTTTGTCGCAACTTTTCAGCATAAAGCTCCTTACATAGAGGAACTTGAAGAACATATGCAGCAACTCCACAAGAAACGTGCTTTGACTATCTTTGAAAGACGAGCTGCTGATAATGATGAGGAAATGGCAGAAGTGCAAGCAGCTGTAGATGCAGCTATGTCAGTTTTAGGAAAGGGTGGTGGCAATGCTGCTACAGTTGCTGCCGCCACTAGTGCAGCTCAGGCTGCAGCTGCTACCATCAAGCAACAAAAAACCTTTCCGGTGAAGTATGATGAATATGGTAGAGATGAATATTTGCAAAAGCGTTTGGATATGGCTCGGAGGGCTGATGCTCGACAGCGTAGGAGATCTCGTTTAGATATTAAGAGAATGTCATATGTTGGAAATGACAACTCCTATCCAATGGAGGGTGAATCTAGCACTGATGAGAGTGACAGTGAGAGTGAAGCTTATAAGTCAAATCGTGATTTGCTGCTTCAGACAGCTTCAGAAGTGTTCAGTGACGCAGCTGAAGAATATTCCCAACTTTCTTCAGTTAAAGAAAGATTTGAAAGGTGGAAAAGATTGTACTTGGATAGTTATCGTGATGCTTATATATCATTGAGCATTCCATCTATCTTCTCTCCATATGTGAGATTAGAGCTGTTAAAGTGGGACCCTCTACATGAAGAGGTTGACTTTTTTGACATGAGATGGTATGTAAGTACCCACTTTTCTCTGGCTGATTGCGGTATTGGTGGATTAAATATAATGTTATTTACTTTCATGCTGGGCCATATGCCCCATATCTCACTTGATAAAGCTTATAATTTTCTCCAGCTGTTTTGTCTCGTAGTTTTGTGCGTCTCTCATAGGTGTTATATTGTTTTTTCAGGCATTCTCTACTCTTTGATTATGGTGTTCCAGAAGATGGAAGTGACTTTAGTCCTGATGATGCAGATGCTGATCTAGTCCCTGGATTAGTGGAGAAGGTGGCACTTCCCATATTGCATCATGACATAGCTCACTGCTGGGATTTGCTTAGTAGTAGAGAGTCAAAGAACGCTGTTTCAGCAACAACCTTAATCATCAACTACATTCCTGCCTCAAGTGAGGCCCTCAAGGAACTTATAGCTGCCATTCGTACTCGGCTAACTGAAGCAGTTGCGAATCTTGTGGTACTTTAAAAACCTCCACAGAGCCCTTAGCATTAATAAATGTGCGATGTGAATGTTACTGTAGAATGAGATATTTACTTTTTCTTTTTTTTTTTTCCCTGATGTTTTATAGGTTCCTACGTGGAGTACAGTTGCTATGAAAGCTGTGCCAAATGCTGCAAGAATTGCAGCATATCGATTTGGTGTGGCAATTCGATTGGTAAGGAACATCTGCATGTGGAAAGATATACTTGCTTTGCCGGTTTTGGAGAAGCTTGTTCTTGATGAACTTTTGGGTGGAAAAATACTTCCGCATGTTCAAAGCCTTATTCCTGATATTCATGATGCAATTACTAGAACCGAGAGAATAATTGCTTCACTAAATGGGGTGTGGTCCGGTGCAAGTGTTGCAGCTGCACGCAGGTAATCTTCTGATGCCATAGGCTTGTGTAATATCTGGAAAATTGTTTGCTTGGTTGTAGTGTCTGATCTAATCTATCCTATTTTCTATCTATTGAAGGTGGAAATGTAAGCTTTTGCTTTAAGATTGTGTATCCCTATTATATGTGTTCCTTTTTTGGAAATTTGATATTAATTATCCCAAGCTTTACTCATCTTCATACACTTATCCTAAGTTTTGGTGGGTCCTTTTCATAAAAGTCTTAGGTATTACCTCTATGGTTTTGGTAGGTCTTTATAGGTGTAGTGTACACCCTCTTTTCGTAATAATTGCAACACTATCCTTTTATGTTTGTTTCATATAATTGTAATACTTCCGTATTTTGTGTGGACCCATTATTATTTTATTATCTCTCTCCCACAAACCCCACTTGCACATATTTTTCCTTGTATTTTTATTATTTTTCTTTCCTAACAACCCGACTTACACTCTTTTATTAGAATTATCTCTCCTAAATTAAATATATCCCACTAACTTTACTTTATATCATAAAATTCCTCCTTTGGTCCTCGCCTATATTTTCCTAAAATTTAATGCAATGCCTAGTGTTGCGATTATTGTATAATGGAGGGCGTGTTGGATGATAACATTTGTTTTTATTTTAAGAGGTTCCTCCTTAAGCTTGGGAATATTCTTGAATAATCATAAGCTAGGATTATTTAATAGTAAAAGTTAATTCTAATAATCCAACCTTTTGTTGGTTCGCTGATAATTATCCAATTTTTTTAATTTTTTGTTTTATTTTTTTTATTTGCAAATAATCCAACCTTTTATACACATTGTCTAATGAAAATGACCATAAGTAAAGGGGTCATGTACTTATGTTTGCTTAACAAGGCTTCACTCACCTAGTAAAATGAATCTATTGATAATTAAGGCTAGGCTTCATTTGCCTGGCACAACAAAGTGTCTTTGTAGTGCTTCATGTGTAAAACAACATAGAACATCCCTGGCAAAATTTCTAATTTTCATTTATTTGTTTCCTCCGTATTTTTTATTGACACGTATTCCTTTATGGGATATATCTTTTTAGCTGACACGTTTCTCTTTTTGGTAAGTTTTGTGTTGTTAAATTCCTATATTACCCTTACTTAAACAACTCCACCCCACCCCTCCCACATCAAATTCATTTCTTACTTTTGTACTCCCCACTCTCTTCAACTAAAACATTTTCATCGTCATTTTCGATCAGCCACCACTTCCTCCTCAACTCCCTCACTCCTTATCATCGGCATTTCCACCATCCCCACCTTCACATGCTTCCCCTATCCCCCTCTTTTCTTAACCCTCAACGCAGCCCTACCCAAAGACATTTATCACAGTCGAACCATGGTGGCTGGAGGTTTTAGATCAAAAATCATATAGCCAAATTCGACTTCCATGCCATTGATTTTGTGAAAAAATATTCATGACGTTGTCAACTAAAAACAAACGGAGGAAGTACTATTCTTTTCCAATTGCGGCCTTTTTCAAGCTCATATTCTCTCCTATTATGCTTCATCTGTTTCAAAATAATTAATCTATAGCAGGTTGGACTCATTGTTTGAGGAAGCAATAAGAGAAAATTAGCATACCATTTGATACAAATGAAAAGTTAAAACCATATCATCTCAATCCACTCTCTTATTGGTTCCCTTCAAAAAAACAAAAAAAAAACCCACTCTCTTATTGGTCTTTTAAGTTATTTTATTTTATTTAATTTTTATTAAATACTCTGCTTACCCAATCTTATCTCTTCCTAAACTTGTGTGTCAAGGCCCAAGGGGCTAAGGAAGTATATTCTGTGATAATGAATTATACATGGATTCCTAAGTTGCTTGGAATTATTGCCCACATTAAAATTCCGAAACCTAGCCATATTGAATATAGATTAGGCATATTGAATATATGTTTTTATTTCTAAATTAACTATTAAGCTAGGGCGTTCCCTTGTCAACCACTTGTGAGATTAATATTGAAAGCAATGCTGCAACTTGTTCGACATTTAAATGATCCATGCAGATGATGCATTAGACAGTTGTGACTAAGAACTTGTCAATTTGATGCCCCTGTTATATAATGGCACCTAACACATTAGAACCGCTTTCAACCTTAGTTGCCTCCATCAATTGTGTTAAACATTGGTTCTGGAGAAATTTATTCTCTCCAACGCTCAGTAGTCCTCCAATCTAGGCTAGTTGATTTTCTTTCTCTATTCGTTTCTGGGTGCTTTGTCTGCAGTTCTATGATTCATGAATCTGTTCAGGTTTTGTTTACCTTTCCTCATTAGGTTTTTATTTTTATTTTTTATGTAGGTTCATTGGTATAAAAGGTAGTTCTCTAGTTGGGGCTTGAGGGGATGAGAAAGGGATGTGATGAGGGTGGAAGTGACAGTCAGGACATAAGGAGCTGTTTGACTGGGGCAGGGTCTGTTGGACGGAAATCTGTTGGGGTGATTAGTGTGGATAGATAAGGACTTTAGGGTAGTTATTAGTCGTTTAGACCCATTTCTTAAGTGTAATTATTTACCACACTATTTCCCAAAGGTAACCAATTCCTAAGCATATAGGTTCGATGACCATTTTCATGACTTGTGTGGTTTGAGGGGTTCAATTTATTTGTATTATTACCCTTCCCAGCCCCCTTGGCAGCAGTTAACATTACCCTCTGCTCTCCTTAAGCCATTATTTGTTTCCACTTCCTTTCCTCTTAAACTAATACTCAACATGCTTTTCAGTTGTGGTTCTATGCAATCAATGCTTTGATACTCTTTATGCATTAAAGAACTTTGTATAGTCATCTTTTTGTTTGGTTTCAGAAAACTTATATTTTCATATATTATGATTGTCATGCAGTCACAAGTTGCTGCCGCTGGTTGATTATGTACTGAAGCTTGGGAAGACTTTGGAGAAGAAGCATGCATCAGGACTGCTGGAGAGTGAAACTGGTGTCCTTGCCCGGCGTCTGAAGAAGATGCTTGTTGACCTGAATGAGTATGATAAGGCCAGAGCAATTTTAAGAACTTTTCATCTCAAAGAAGCTCTATAATCTTGTCTTCAGTTATCTAGGGTTTTTTTTTATTTGTTTTTTTTTTTTTTTTTTTTTTTTTTAATTTTTATTTTTAAAATACAATATATACATATATACTAATAGAATACTTTCCTCTAAGTTTTCCATTGGAACTGTGAAATATATACAGAGTACAACAGAGGGAGTGATATTATAGTAAGAGATCAAACACATCGGCCATGTTTAGTTCACCTTATAAACATCGTGCTTGTCAAAAAAGCCTAGAATACTACTCGTATTCTTTTTTCTTCTCTGACTTCCTTTAATGTGAAAATAGGAGGTGATTTTATCACCGTCCTTCATCTCATTAGCTCTTGCACGTGCAAACCAGTAGGATTCCTCAAGTCTTCGTAACTCATCTAGCTCGATAGAAATTCGTTCACATTTCCTATAACATTCTAGCTATAACATTCTAGATTTTTTTTTTGACTGTTCTAATTTTTATTTTTAAGCTACCGAATGTCTTAGCAGCCCACTTCGATAAACCTTCAGTACATGACATAATTCGTTCATGAGGGACATACACCATTTTATTCTTCCATGCATCCGACACCACTTTCTCACATTCTTTCTGAGACAACCATATCGCTTCAAATATATGTAATTTTTCTTTTTTTTTTCCACGGTCAAAAACTCTACTTGCATCAAGCAATATAGGGGCATGGTCCGAATTCTGCATTGGTAGGTGGGAAATAGTAAAATTTTGGAAAATATTACACCAACTATCCTCCGCTAGAAATTTGTCAAGACATTCGCGAACCATAGTATCTGAAGTTGTACCTCTCTGTCGAGTAAAAATGTTCCCTCAATCCACACATGTCAATAGCTTCCCGAAAAGCATCCATTAACTTTTCCCTTCTAACCACCCTTCCATCCTTCTCATTCATGCTCACAATCTCATTAAAATCACCAAACATAATGCATGGAAAACTACCATCAAAGTGTAAATTAATCATCATCTCCCAAGTCTTATGTTTGTTTTAAGTCGCCGGCCAACCATACACACCTATTGCTCTCCTTATAGTGACGCCTACACTAATCAAAACGTCAACTGCAAAGTGGTGAATAAAGCAGAAAATTGTTGATATCCCAACATTCCTCCACTAAAAACCCATTCCATCCGCTCTTCCGTTACTACTCATACACAACCCATTATCATATCCACATAGCCTCTTTATTCTCTCCAAAATACAACTATCAAATTTTGTCTGCATTAAAAAGACAATGTTTGGCCTCTCTCTCCAACATATGTCACAGAGAATTCTTACATTCCAAGGGCTGCCAAGCCCTCGGACATTCCAACTTAGAATTTGCATTGTCGTTCGAGGGTTTGGTCCTCGCCAACACCCTCTACATGATTTATATTGTCGCCGGTAGAATAAGTATACGCACCCTGCAATCTCTTTGTCTCCTCCCCTCCCTCATCACTCCCCAAATTAGCATTTATTCGAACCAAATTTCTTTTTAACCCACCAGCAACCTTACCCCCCCCCCCAAAAAAATTTTTTAACAACATTAGACGCTGTATTAGGTACACTGCCCTCCTCCACCTCCTCCTGTTCCCACCTCCACTCCTACTGCATTCCCATTCACCCCTAACCGGTCATCCTTTAACACTAGAGCCCCCACATCAGCCAAAACACTAGCCTGCTCCACTGCTCTTGCGCTGCATTGTCATCCGCCTAGCACAACTAGCTACTCAACACTTCTCCCCCACCCTCTAAATCAACGGTTCAGTCTCCTTATAATTTAACTCCTCCAGGTTATTATAATCCTTTTTAGCAAATTTCAGCTTGTGTGCTGCCAACACTTCCTCCAGTTTTTCAGTTTCTTTAAGCCTCCATCCCCTTTCTAGGAGAAGCTCTAAGCCATCTCCCCTATCCTAACTTCTCTTTTTTTCTCTCCTTCAACATCGTGCAACAATCTTTCTCGGAATGCCCAATAACACCACAAGCAAAGCAAAAAAATGGCAATCGCTTGTACCCAAATTTCATATATACAATCTTCCCTCCTTTATTAAATATTCTCTGGAATCTGCGCAAAGGTTTGGTGATGTTAATCATCACTTTAACTCTGAAATCTATCAAGTACGAGCTTGTCTTCCTCAACTCAAGAACTTTGCACCAATTCCTTAACATCGTTATCCGACCTATAATTAAATGGGAGGTGTTTGATTCTAATCCATATTACGGAGTGATATAGTGCAATCTTCTCAGGTTGTTCATCTCCCTCGATCTCTTTCAAAATCAGCAATGTATTATCGAAACACCAAGGCCTCCCCATCAAAACTCTTTCCTTATCGCGCCCTTTACAGATTTAGAAAGCATAGACATTATGACCTTAAACCCTGATCACCAGTTTTTTCTCCAGCGCCCATACCTTAGTCATGTTAATCTTGAACGCTTCCACATTGTAAGGTCGTTCCGTCACCAATCGTCTAATTAAAACCAAATGGAATTTGTCATTCGGCTGTCCTGAATCCACAACCCCTAAGTCCACCACGCCACCATCCTCGTCCTCAAGTTTCAAATTAGCGTAACGCTCAACTATTTCGTCTGCCATAGTAACAAGAGTCAAATCACCACGTCAAAATCCGCCGACTCATTGGCACCAAAACCCTACTCTCCAGTGAGAAAACCCTACGCCATAGACACATCATTGAAAATGGAACATGTCAGGTATGTCACGCTCCAAGTAAATCAATTAATCATGTGATGTTTGAATGCGAGCTTGCTATGGAGATTTGAAGGCATTGTATAAATGCGATCAGATTATTTGGGGCACCGAATGATTCGTTTGGAAGCAAGTGGCTGTGGATTGCTCGTAATTGTAGTGGTAAGGACCTGCTGTCCACCAGTACCTTGATGTGGGCAGCTTGGCGATACAGAAACCTCATTGTATTCAATGATGAGCGGCCTAACAATGTTATGCTTCCTGCTGGATTTTCGAGACTATTAGAGGACTATGGCAGATACTCTAGGAGAGTGTATGCTCTTGTGAGTGCTACTACAGGGCTAGCTATGCTCATACTAGAAGTGCAACTGCTACTTCATCTTGGAAACGCCCAAGTGTATGGATGATTAAAGTGAACATTGATGCTCATGTTTGTGAAGGGGTTGGGGTGGGTCTAGGTCCGGTGTTGAGGGATGAGATGGTTATTGGCTGTGGGGAAGAGGAAGCAGCACTACACTTTTCTTGCGATTGCAGAGGCGCTTGCAGCTCACTATTTGTTGGCGCTCTTGCTAGAAGGTTGGGGTACAGAAGAATTCAGGTTAAATGTGATGCTATCAATGTAATGAATAATGTTAAGGGTACTAGCTACGGGGCTGCTCCGATTCATCACATCTTTAAAGATATTAGAAGAATTTGACTTTCGATAATTGTACTTTTTCCCATGTAAACCGAACTCTCAATTTGGTAGCTCACTTAGTGGCTATAAAAGGAAACTAACAATTATGATGAATATGTTTGCACAGGCCCGTTCCCTGGCCTCATAGTATCACTGCTCTGCAGAACTTGATTTGAAGTCATAAAAGCCCGATCTACCTTGTGTAAAATTTATTTTTATAATTTTTTTTACTACAATTTATATTTTATATTTTTATCAACATTTTTTAAATTTACACCCATTAATATTTATTGTTTTTTAAAATTAGAATAAAGAAGAGAATAAAGCTTGATAGTTGTTTGGTTGATAAAAAGAAAAACCAATTTATCATTGAATTTTTAAGATATAGTTTTAATATACTCACTAGATGAAACCCGTGCGATGCACTTTTTTTTTTAAATTTTTTAATTCAAATATTTTATATGTTTCTCAGGTAATTTTGTGATTTTATTCGCTTGTTTTTTACTTGAATTTTTTACTATAAAATAAATAATAAATTTTAACTCTCATACTTAGATAAAAAATCTAATATAAAAATATAATATTTTATTTTTATTATTAATTTACAACTTAAATTTATTTGGTTTATTATAATCACTTCTCATATTTTTTTTTTCTAATCTAAAATAGAAGCTTTTTTTTTTCTCTAACTGAACGTAATTTTATTTAAAGTTTAATAGTTTTTTTAATCATATACTCCCTCCGTTCCTGAAAGTTCGACTCACTTTGCATTTGTGCGGTCTCCAATGAACATCTTTAACTATGAATGTAACACCCTAGAAATTCATTTCCTTTAAAATACCTGTTTTGCTCATTTTAAATACGAAATAGGAAATTTTAAGACATTACCGCCACCGTAAAAACGGATAAGACAATTATCAAAGACACACAGCAAAAGACTATTTTTAAAACCATTCAAAATACGTCAACTTAAAAAGTCAAACCAAACGAAAGTAAAGTCAACCCAAAGTCAAATAAAATCAACCTACAATTTGGAACCATCGTAGGCCCTTAATAAAATCGAAATAATCTTTAAAAACCTTTGCGTTAGTCTCTCAAGCAAAATATATAATAATCAAAGCAATAAACCACATCATATTCTTATGAAACTAAACATGAGTCGTTCTTCACTCATGCCCATCATAAATATGCTTCATCACCTGAAAAGCTTCTCTTCACTTTGTCCCCACTACTCGCCATTAGAAATGGGTCGTCGTAGGGCCAAGATAAAGACAAGGCCAAACAAACATACAACACACAATCAGCAATGCTGAGTACATAAGCGTAAACAGTACACATTAACATGCTTTCATCCTATCATCACAGAACTTACCTTGTTGCACCTGTTTACAAGCATATAACATACAACATAACCAACCAATAAATAACTAGATTACTTATTTAGCTTGATTACACATCGAACAGGTTTCCCCCTAACCTGTCCAATAAAGGGGTACTAACACAGGAGCTAACCATGCTAGTATAAAAGAACCATTCGTAAGTGGCGGAATTCCAGCGCATAATAAAAAGGAATATACAGCGTCCTGTACTCCTAGTAGAAGTTATGGTCAAATATAAAGTCGCATAACTCCCCCCATATGTTCATACTCAAGGTACATACGTTCCAAGAGTTTTGGTGCGTAATCTCTTTCACGTTATGTTGTTTACATATTTTTAGACTCGGTGATGACTCTCAAAACATAATACAAGCAATCAAACATACCAATCTAATTCTTGAATAACTAGTGACCACATAAATTTAATGTTGAATCCTTTTAAAACTACCTCGGTGTTAAATAACACCTTAAGTGCATAAAGCACCACAAATGCTATCCCTCGGTCTTTAGAACACCTTAAGTGCAGTTAGGAACCAAAATATAATTTAATCCTCGTG